AACCTGGTTATCTGTTACCAAATGACTTAATTGTTCCATTTTGAATATCAAAATTCAATGTTAATTACTTATTAATTTAATATGTGGAGAGGCTTGATTTTTTATAATTTTACATTAGTTCCTTTAAGGGCCTATATTAGCCAGATTCTTTTGGAGTTACTCCTTAAACGTATATCGCATGTGAATACTTACTAAAATTGGTTTGTATGCCCAATTAGCTTAGCTAATATGTTTGTTAATATCTCGATTTCGGTTTCCTTTTTCATCTTGTCAAAGATATTTCCTCCACCTTTCTCATAGCGCTTGCCGCGTTTTGATCAATCGGGCACCATTTCGGAGATGCATATTCTTTATGCTTCGTGGTCTGCTGATCACAGAGTGATTGACGGTGCTTCAATTGCCAAATTCTCAAATCATTGGAAATCCTATCTGGAAGAACCATATCTTTTTCTTTTAGATCTAAAGTGATTTACATTTCCTTATTTTGTAATCTTGTCTTGCCGTCTATTAGACATTCGATTAACTTGATATTTTTGTACATTTGTCTATTACGTTTTTTATCGCCAAATGGATCTATGTCCAGTCAAAATTACAGCCTTGTAATTCCAGCACAATCAGAATATTCCCTCCATTAGATTTACAAATAATGAGAATTGTGAGCTCATCATTACTTGAAAAATATTTACCTTGTTTTCTCTCTTCGAGGACTAGTAATGTGTTGATTAGTCTTCCATATTCATTAATTTAGTTTACTCATTACAGGGTCTGGCTGAGATTTCGTTGAAAGCATTGATATTAGGTCGTACCTATGACGACCAATATGGTGTGGCTTTCTCATTCAACCTTGTAGTGTTGGTTCGATCTTCTTTTCGCAACTTTATCGCAGCGTCAGGGAGGCCTTGTGCAACTGACTTAGTCGTGTGTTCTTTTCCTTAGTATTCGTGATTTCCAGCTTCGGATTATTGGCTTGGTACATTCCCAAACGTTTTACCGGTATCGTAGTTGGAATCGTCAGTGAGAGGCGCCATCGCTAGTACAGTTACAACTTGTCGACGTGACAAGTGAAGATTATCCCCTTGATCAATTTTCTCTTCAACTGATGCGTCATCACTCCTCGCCCCTATTTTTCGTTCTGCCTTCTAGTGCTTCATCTCTATAAACTCCACTTCATATGGCCCCTAGACCTATTCACACTATTTTGG